TCACCCCTTTCATTTAACATTTTTACAAGCTCCAGCTTTGGTGTAGAGAGGGAGAAGGTTTAAGAGGTTAGGAATTAGTTTCGTTCCTACTGTATGCCTCTATATTATATTTATTTTGTGTAATAGAATATTATTGCTAGTTCTAGGTTTCCTTTCATTTACACTTGCACTAATTAGTTGTTTTAAGTATCTGGATTGTATTTTGGGCCCTGAGTGGTTTTGCATGTTAAGTTATATGTATTGATAAGTCAAAATACTAGTGTAAGTGTAAGGGATGTTGTCTTGTTCATGAAATGAATGATTTTTGAGTCAATGCAAATAGATTACCTCCCCCTCCTATTTTGTATAAAAAAGGGTTGAGGAGTGATTTTGTGTTATATTATTAATTGAGTGTGAATGATGTGATATATGATATTCTTAAGTCTAATGAATATGGTCCAGGTGTTAGGAAAGGCTTTTGGCACTCGTTTTTAGGTTTTGGACACCTTTGTTGTGAAAAGTGGTAAAAAGGGGTTTCAGTGTCTAACTTTTTGGTGTGACTTGTTTTGGAAGTAAAACCCAGGTCATTAACTAGTTTATGAAAAGAGCTTTTTGTAGATACCCAGATCATGTCATTCGAATGTCAGACAAAGAACCTGGACGTGTCGAAAGTTCCTCATGACAGTAGAATCTGCTGTCATTTACTTGCAACATACTGTGGCACATGGGTACTTGAGTCGTGGCTCGTGGCATAGAGAGCAACATGCTACGGTGTAGCGTGCACAAGCCATGGTGTGTTACCTTGATCTGCAGCAAATGAGTTGTTCTTCAATTATTTTCATTCTTTTTCACTTTTTTAAAGTATCCCATGCTTGCTTTTGTAACTTGTTCTTACTCTGATATAAGAGTTTATGAATAATTTAAAATCATTTTGATTATAAAAACTTGGGATCCCTTATTTTGAAACTAAAAAAATTTACTAATCTCTTAAATAGGTTAATCCTTTGATTATCATGAGTATGTTTGGTCAATTATGTTTAGTAGTGAGGTTATTTCATTCATTTTTGGAATAGTAATGGTTAATTAGTCTACTCGATTGTTGATGATGTAATTTTGCATGGAATGTAAAATTCCTCATTTATACCTAGTTAATCTCTAAAATTAAAGGTGAATAAGGAATAACACATAGATTACCTAATGGCACAATTTTCAAAAGTGGGAATCCAAAAGTTTTTATGAATAAAAAGATGCCAAAACACTTTCTTTAGACAACCAATCATAGTTGAAAACATATGTGAACACATAGAAACCTGAGCAACTTAATGCATTTGTAAAATAGTTGAAAATAACAAAACAATGTAGTGGAAAGGTGTACTACAGCATATTGCAAATGCGATGTGGTGTGTTGCTTCTGTGTTATGCACCGCAGTAGACCTGCAAATGTGCCACAATGCATTACACGCTTCATGACAGCATATAGTAGTCAAATGATAGCATATGTGATGAACTTCTAATGCGTTCCATTTCTCCATCCAATGTTTGACTAAAGTGATCTAGGTGTCTATAGAGAGCTTTCTCTTAGTTCTAACTAATGACACTGATTTTACAACCAAATCATTTTTCTATAAAAAAATTGAACACTCTTATCAAAAACTCAATTGTTTATCACAAAATATGCAATTAGGGTATGCATTTCCTAAACCAAGTGCTAAAAACCTACACCAACTTTTAAACCATACACTATGGGACTACTATAGAATCACACAACACACCATAGTCTAATGAACACACGTATATCAAAATTTTGACACTCAACCCCTTGATTAACAAAAACATAAAGGGGAGTTAACTTTACATAATTTAACATAATAATCATCTATGTCATATAACCAAATTCACAATACTCTACTTGCATTAGTTTTTTAGCCCTATTTAGTTTTACCACCATATGTCAATAATCCAAGGTACAAAATATACACAAATCATTCAAGAATAGTGCAAGTAGTAAAAAATGAATTTTGTGATGTCCTAATTGGAAAATAACTTCAAAATACACATAATTTAAACTATGAGGCGTATAAAAAGGATTTACACAGAATCCTAAGCCTCCAATCATTTTCCGTAATCTTGATTTGATAAGCTAGGCCCTGTAATATTGAAGAATGAGGGGTAAGTATAATTACTGAATAACCAATGTTATTTTAACCTATACAATTGAAGTCAATTAATTATAGGTGCAAATGGAAAAAAAAATATTCTTTTCATAAACGGTTTATGCATATTTGTCAAAGTTTCCTTGACTACAAAACTAACAACCATGTGGTTGAGCACAAACGTATATTATCACATATAATCAATAATATGTATGATTGCAATAACAACAACTTGCGCCCCTAACAAAATATATTAGACCATAATAATAACAACTATGTCACTGGAAATAGAAATATATGATCAATGCCAACCTTATACTCTCTTGATACCTCTGAAATGAAATCAGTGGCTATTAAATGGTTACGTCCTCAACTTAGACTAACCCAACCTTTCACTCATGAGAAGTTACTGGCCAAGGCTAGCCTACTCACTTATGATCCCCAGTTTCTCCCAATGTTAACAACTAGAAAGTGTTGTAATCCTAATCTAGCTTTCTCATAATCAATAGAAACTAGTTAGGTTTGAGCCCATTAAAGAACAAGTAGGACAATCCCTAATTAATTATGGGATAATAGCTACCTCTTGATTCTAACAGTTGATGCCAAGGCAAACTTTTAATTCCAACGATAAGTCGCTTATACTTTATGGATTTGTCACATCTACTCCACTCCCTATAGGTGAACTCCCGTCATCAATGATTATGCCATGCACATATCGACACATATTATGTACATATAGATACTTTCATCATATCATATCTTACTCATCACAATTTAACTCCACCATACTCCTCATATTTCAATATGTACAATAACTCATAATACATTTTCAAATATATGCATGCTCTATTCTATTGTCAAACATGTATGTATAAATATACATTTCATTTATAGTAACCCATACATATACTTACACAATACATTATCTATCACATTCCCAAATTTGCATTAAACATGAGTTTACAAACATTAATGAGTTTCAAATCAATCTTCCTAATAAATAATTAATTAATACACAAAAGTATAACCTAAATTTCCCCTAATTACCTCAAGATTGCTGACATGGAATTATTCTTGTTGACTCAAAGTAATTGCTATGATTAATTTTGCCATAGAATTTAGTAGCACTAACTTCTTTTTTTTTTTTCTAGTGAATTCACTCCTTAATTTTCTCACTAGCTCTCCATCTATTATTCTCTTGGAAATATAGGGACCATTCTCAATAATTTTTGATAGATCAAGTCTGATGCCTCAAAGAATAATCTCATTTTGCTCTCCCTTAAAGAACAATCTATTTGATGTAAGTATTTGAGAGTATTTTAACTATTGCATGAATTCGTTTTAAACTATGCATGATTTGAGATAATGCATGATTGTTGCATGAAAAAGGATTTTAATTAAACAGATTTGTTGAACTTTATGGTTATATATATATATATATATATTATATGGATTTCAATACAAACATATGATTTATATGAAAGCATGATCATAAGAGGCTAGAAGTTCACCCATACGAAAAAGTAGTGAGAAGTTCATATGGCATTATTCTCCTTAGTGCCCAACGGGGTGCAGTATTAGAAAATTTCATCTCCTTAGTACCTGTTGAGCTATGGTGTTGGAGATTATTTCTTTAGTACCTATATGGGGTATGGTGTTAGAAATTTAAGCTCCTTAGCATATGTGTGATGCAATGTTAGAGTAATGATGCCTCGATTAGAGTGTATTAGGAGAAACCGTAGTTTGAAAGTGGGACAAAACACTTTTGGCTAGGTAATTCTACCACTAAAGATGAGCTCGGGTCAGTAAGACTGTATTGGCCTAATAAGAGCTTATGATTTCAATCGGGGTGATTCAGAGGTTTGGATGATAGTTGATCATGCTAATAGTGGTAATTGATGGTGAAAATGATTTTATAAAGTGATACTTATGTTTGCATATATATATATATGTGTGTGCTATACTTCTTTATAATTACATGTGATAGTTGTTAGTAGCGAGGTTATTCTATTATTAAAATTATTATCTCACCCCGTGGTTATATTTTTATATGTCAAAGTTGTGAGTTAGGTAAAAGGAAAGACACGTGACTGGCATAGTTGTGCTATTGCCACGTGAATTCTAAGCTTGTGTAATGAATTTATCTCTTTGTATATTTGTAAAATGGTTTAAGTTGCTATAGGATGCATATGCATGTTAGTAGTTATGGAAAGTGGTGATTATGTGATTCTTAGCTCTGTAGTTGTGAATACGTGTTATATGTGGTGAAAATGCAACAATTGGCTAGGAATTGGTTGTTAATGTGTGTAGAAATTATGTGGTAGAATTGTGAACCCTAGCACAATCATCATAGTAAGCAAGTTGGGGTTAGGATTGCAATGTATATAAGAATGTATTTTATAGTGAATATATGTGTTGTGATGATTTTGTGGTGAATATGTATAAGATTGGCCAATGAAATGTTTTTATAAAAATTTAGGAAAAATAGCCCTTATTTTTTCATAAATAGGCAATTGAATGGCCAAATCTTGATTTATAAGTATGTATGTTGCAAATGTTATTCAATTAGGTGTGAATGGTCCTTTTAAACTTAATTCAAAGCCCAAAATGGCTTATTGAGATAAAGTGTGTGATTTGAACACTTTAGTCATGAAATTTTTAGAAAAGGTGACTTTTTGCACCTGGAATGTCCAAATTTAGATTGGACCATGAGATTGCATTAAAACTTATCTCATTATCTAGCTTATGAAATAAGGTTTATGTGCGCTCTTGAATTACTTCAATCGGATGTTGTATGTAAAAATGGTATACGTTAGAAGTTTATTTCAACGAATTGTCATATGACAGTGAAATTTTGCCATGTATGCCATGACATATGATGCGACATGCCGCAACACAAGGCACAGAATGGGAACTCATGACTCTGTGCCATATATTCCGGTACATGTGGTACATGCTACGATGCATGCCTTATTTTTTAACCTTGTTTCTTTAGTTTCAAATCACGAGTTGAGATTGATGAATGTAAGGATCTACCTTCTGCTATGTAATGTTTAATGTGTGACTGTTTTCAAATATTTTTTTTACAAAGTAGTTTTGGGTACCCAAGCTTTTCAAATGAATTTCATTAATTACATTTTGGTGGTTTAATGCTACCATTGAGTTGGCCCCTTTTTATACTGGTTGTGTAAAGGAAATAGTTTGGTATAGGGAGAGGTTACAACATGAGGGAGAAAATATTGAAGAAGAGAAGAAGGAAGAGGAGAAAGAGGATACAAAAGAGGGTGAAGACAACAAGGATGAAGAGGAGAAAGAAAAGGAGAAAGAGGAGACAAAAGAGGGAGAAGACAATGAAGAGATGAATGAAGATAGAGAAGAAAAGGGAGTAAATAGTGGACAAAAGAAGGAGCGAGAGAATGAAGAAAGAGGGAGGGAAAAGAAGCATAAGTCAGAAGATGTAGTTATCAGTGAATTGAGGAGATTTGAGAAGGCCAAGAAACCTTATGCATCAGGGAAGTCTCTATAATGCCTTTACTAATATTACTATTCAATCTCCTATGCAATCTACCAACAACTTAAAATGATTGTCTTTGAAGGGTTGGGATCCCACATAAAGCATTTGAAAATCATTTCTAAAACATTTGAGTTATAAAAAAATAGTACACGATAAAAGTACTCAAACCTTCAAAAGAAATTGATTCTAAATAATGAAAATTAAAAGAATGTGAGACAAGCACCACAGCAAGTGCCACATGCATTGCAACATGTGACACAAAGGCACTAGCATTCACTCTGTGTCCCTCTATGTCATGCACCGTGGCATAAACATCAGATTCTGCTGTCAATAATAATTTTTTATGCAAACTTTGAATGTGTATTGTTTTTGCATCTAATGTCCAATTGGGGTGATTTAAGCACTCACATGAAGCTTGTTTCAAAATCTAACCAATGACATTGATTTTGTTTTAATATGTTATCTTATTCTAAAGTTGGACATCTAATTGCACCTTGATCAATTTAAGTCAAAATTCAACACTTGAGCATGATTATTTGAAACCATATGCCAGTAGCCACTTTTAGGGTCTTGACCACGTTTAATGGGACAAATTACACTTGATTAACCATTCATATACATAATACCATACACATATACACACTTGGGCAATCGACTGCCCATCCTACACACTTAGGCATATTCACAATTTTTTATTCAAATTCACATTGATGGCCAAACTTCACACATTTAACACTTATAATCTATCCACATGCTCAAAATCAATCTCCTAGCTCGTATTGTCATTCTCACCTCAACCACACACATATATACATATTAGGGTTAGAATGTAAAAGTCACGCATTTACAAAATCATGCACATGTACAAACTCCTATAGCAACTTACATATACCCCCACATTATATCTTTTAGTCATTATACCAAATCTTACAATGGGCTATATCAAGAAAGTCTCTATCGGTCCAAATCCTTCCCTGTAGCACCACTAACATCATAACCTATAATAATGTATATAACTACATGTGATATCAAAATCCTAGCAACCAAAATAGTTCATTTAATGTTCATTAATACAAATAACCACATATAAGTAAACAAAACCCAATAATACTTTATATATCAATAGTAAACATAGTTTTCCTCTTTTTAAGCATTTTCACACAATCACAATCACTAGCATGATTAACTATCTATCCAATCCTTTAAAGCTCCCAAACATGAAACATAGGCTCTAATAGATCAATCACATATTGACCTGAGCACACCTTCAGTGATATAAGCACTTGGCCAAAAGTATTTTGACCTACTTCCAGACTATGATATCCCTCTTCACACTCACTTGTGATAGAGGTATTATTAACTCCTAATTGCATGCTTATAGGTACTAATGAGTTGCTAGATTGACCAGATGTCCTATGGTAATTCATATGTCTTTTGGTACCAACCCGATCATATGGATTTATTCACTCATATCTCTACATACACACATCCACATACAATACCCTCTATGATCATGCTTTTCACACTAAATCACCAATTTCTCCATGTTTTGCACCACATATATATATATATATATATTTATATTTATATACAATTCATTCATAACCTATAATCATCCCAACATTCATTTCACAAATCACTTTATTGCCAAAACCATTTAAATTGCAAACCATGCATAGAAAACTTACAAAACATTGAACTTATAATTACATACTTACTTTTAAAAACATTTATAATAGTTAATAAATATAATAAACTATATAGTTACCTCAACCCTTCTATTTTAAAGAAAGGTTACTCATCTTACACTCTTCCACTTCAAGTTCCTTTCATTATTTCAACATGTCACACATGAAAATCTACATAAAATTGGCTCTTATGTCAATTATCTCTTTGACTAACAATACCACTTTCAACAATTAACACATAAACACTATCATTTCCTTTATTCAAGCCCATCTTAAGTCCATTTCCACCTTCAACACTAAATCCCCACTTATTGCAAGGATTAGCACATTCATTTCTAAATTTTACCCATTTTTCTCTTCCTAAATTCAACGAATTTGGGCTTATAGCTTTAAAATTTTACAATTTAAATTCAAACTAGTTGCAAAGTTCTAGTTTAATCCTAGAGAACCTTTTTATTACTATAGAATAAGAAATTAACTCCTTAAAACTTTTGGATTTTGTTTCTCACTAGTTTAAATCAAGATAAAATAGTGTAGAATCAAAGGTCAAGGTAGTGTAAGACTTACTCAATAAATAACAAGTTAGAAATGTTATCTTTACTCTTAAAAATCTATACCCTAGCTCCCTTCCTTTTACACTCCCCCATGCATTTTTCCTTTATTTCTTTCTATTTTTTTACAAGCTATACATGTTCTTATCTATAAATTTCTACATCATGCATCACAGTGCATCCATCACTGGTCATGGCACATGGAATAGTGATGAAATTCCTCACCATGCTCACACACTTTACTTCACAATGAAATTTTTCCACTTTAATCTGTACATACAACATCCCAAAAAGTCAAAATGACACTCCGCCATCTAAAACCCTAATCTCACATTAAATTACTAATTTTTCTCTTAATTAGCATTAATGCAAGAATTAAGAATTTAGGATGTTACAGTCTCCATTTGTATAGTACATTATCACAATTAAGAATGTGAAGAGAAGATCATTGGATTTTGGACATGAAGTATTATTCAAGCTTTATACTACTGCCTGTAGCCCATATGAGTCAAAGAGGTTAGTCTTCATTTGTTTGAATTGTCATTGTAATGAATTCTCTTATGTAAAGTCTTTTTACTCTTGAATTGATAAGTATTGTATGCAATAAGATATTTATGGATATGTACGAAGACTACCTTACTTGATCTAAGCTATTTTGTCTTAATGAAAGGAGATATATAAATGATAGGGTGAGTGAAATTTATGATTGAAAAGGATTACACTTGTTCAGTGTATAATGCTATTGTTTTGACTCCTTATTTTTTTATTATATATACTTAGTGACGATGATAACCAGGACATTAATGGGAGACCAAGGAGAGACTGATGGTTGAGTGTCAAGGAACATTTTCAACATGTATGCTGCTGGTAAGAAAAGATCAGAAGATATGAAAATAAAGAAAAAATGGCTGTACTTGTATGAGATTACTTTCACCAATTGTTGCATGTAATGAAACCCCAATTGTTTAAAAATGAGAAAGAACTTGAGAAAGATGTTAAATAGGCACAAGTTAATCTCCAAACAGATATGTGCATTACATTAATACTTGGCTTTCCATTAGTATAGCTTATTTCAGTTTTTAAGCAATTTGACTATAATTATTTGCTAATATAAGAGATCTTTTGAGGTTCACATTATTGAGTGGCTAAAGTCATAGGATAGCTCTCCCTGTGATAAACATGGGTATATAAGTCCATCTTACTTTGATTAACACATTTGAAACATTAAAGTTGAATTGTTGTGGTAGCTTGTGAGCTAGGAGAAGAACCCTAAACATGAGGTCGTGTTGCAACTCCTTACAAGTGACAATGCCAAGAAGAGGTGAAACTAAATTACTTGTTTTAAATATTAACATGTCAATGTTATAAATTTTGACATGTTATTGTTGTCATGAAATTGGTTGGAGTTGATCTTTTTTGTTGATACCATTCAATTATAATGCAAATGAAGAAGAGGCAAAGTTGAATTACTTGTCATTTATGTTTTTTTGCAACTGTCTTTAAAAATATAAAGATGTAATCTTATGTCAACTCAAGGTGGTGTAACAAAAAAGTTATGTAAAGAAAATAACAACATTTTGTATGTTCATTAACTACACACAATATTATAACAAACAAGTCATCCTAACTTGAAAGCAGTTAATACGAGTCATTGGAATTTTTTTAAGTTAGTGTTGTTAACGGCAACTAAGGTAAAGCCATAAATATCAGGCTATAAATAAATGAACTACACAAGTAAGGTGACAAACAAGTCATCTAAAAATAAAACCAACCTACACTTGGAATTTTTACATCCACCTAGTGTCATATCGAACAAGTTAGGTAAGTAAATTAACAAGATGTGTAAAGTAAATAAATCACAAACAATAGGATGATGAATAAGTCACCACAAAGACTTATAAGTCAGTGCTCAAAACCAATTTCCTATTATTAAGTCTTACTTATATTGGTATGTATAGAGCATATATTGGTATCAAATCCACATACTAGTAAGAATCAGACTTTTATAGCGGCCAATTTTCTACCAACAAGTCTCCATTATACCAATATGTATACTACATATTGATATTAATTCAACATACCAATAAGAATGAGGCTTCTATAGCGGCCTCATTCATACTAATAAGTCTCACTTATACCGTATGTATACTATATATCAATATCAACTCAACATATTGGTAAGCATGAGGTTTTCATGGCGAATCCATTCATATTGGTAAGTCTCACTTATACCAGTATGTATAGAGCACATATCAAAATCAAATCCAATTGGAACGAAATAGGCTTTTATAGTGACCTTATTCATACCATTAAGTCTAACTTATACCAATATGGATATTACATACTGGTATCACATACACATACTTGTAAGAATAAGGCTTCCATAATGGCCTCATTCATACCAGTAAGTCTCATTTATATTGGTATGTGTACTATATACTGGTATTAATTCAACATACAGGTAAGAATGAGGCTTCCATGGCAACCTCATTCATATCAATAAGTCTAACTTATATTGATATGTATATTACATACTAATATCAGATACATATAATGGTAAAAATCAGGCTTCCATAGTAGCCTCATTCATACCGATAAGTCTGCATTATATCAGTATGTGCATTATATATGTAAAATCTCCCTTACTATTCCCTAATTAACTTCAAATCTCAATCTAATTAAGAGATTTGCCCAAAGTAAGTGACAAATTTGGCAAGTTCACAACTAGGTTATATAAATGGGATTCTAAGTTTTTAATATTTAAACATCCCAA